TGATCTGACTGAATCACACTCCAGTTAACCCATCGTAAGTTGGTGGCCAACAAGCATTTCCTGGATAAACTGATCTGACAGTTGGAATGATTAAAACTCATAAATCTGACTTAATGATTTATGCATTATAACCCAAGATGAACAATAAAGACCTCACCTTTGCAGAGAATAATTATCCCATAGACTTGTATAGGACCACAAGTTTTTTCCAACCACAACCATTGCCCCTTGGTGGATTAAGAACTAATGCAGATTTAAGGCACTTCTGCACTTCACACTTCAGACCCAGAAGCCGTCGTTTACACTGTCTATGAGTGAAATGCAAGTGTTTTAATAGTAGGTTACTTAGCACTAAGCAGGTATCAGTAACTGCGTGATACACCCAATAGAAATAGGCTAATTAATCTACCCACTATCAACCTAAAACCAGGATTTCACTCTCTTTTCGAAATATGGAAACCTCTGGCTCTGAAAAACAAAGATGGCGACAACTGTAGTATGAAACCAAAACAAAGCAATGTTAATAAATGAGCCTTAGTAGTGCTGTTTGCTGTATTTTTCTACACGTAATATAAAGGTCTTTCTCTTGATCTAACCATTAAAATCTTCTGATATTATGCACCTATTAATATGACAAAATAAGTAAAAACAAATATGTGACTGAGCACCTTTTTTTTTTTTGGCTGATGCTTTGTGCCCACCAGATGACTCACTGCCTGGCCCTGTTTCCACTGATGCCATATCCGCTCCCAGATATCATCCCACTCTAATCAAGAACATCAAATCTGGGATGATTTTGTTCTCTTTCTATTTAAAGCCTCGACTTGCGAGCTCCACTACAGCTATAAATAAACATATAGCTCTTTGTAACAGGACACGACAAGCATCATCTGGTCCTGCTGGGGGGAAACTGGGGCTGACGACAATCCTGCCTGTCAAGGGTGTTGATTTACTGAATGATTCATTTTCCTGATGTTTTCAGATCAGATACGACAGGACGAAAAAGCAGCAACGAACGGAAAGTTCACGGCAAGTTTATGTTTTTGAACCAAGGTGAACTTTTCGGCGTGTGAATGCCTCACATTTCACTTCTCACTGTCAGTATCCTGTGAAACTGTGAGAGTGATGCACAGATCTGTCTGTTTTTATATAACTCATCTATACTGTAATGTTTCCTGTCGTGTAATTGTGAATGATGTAGAAGTGAGAGTAGAACCTGAGCAGACCTTTAACGCCATGTTGCTACCACACTTTTGATTTCCACTCTGCTATGTCTAGACATGTACACCAATCAACTTTCAGCACTGTGCCGGACTGCTCTGTTCCTGATCAAAGCTTATTTACCTCGCTGAGTCCCTCAGGATGGAGATACCTCTTAGCAAAGGGCTGCGTGACCTCAGCTGCACAATTTTAAAAGAGTAACCAGAACCTTCGGAGGCAATTCAAACATTATTGTTCTGCTCGTGCGGCAGCCAGCAGACCTGCAATCGACTTTTGGGTCTCCACCTGTGGCTGGAAGGAAATGATGAATGCCTCCAACTGCTGACTTTAAGATAAGAAGCGTCTCCCTCTGTTTGTCTGCCTCTAACTGACATGCACGCTCATATACACAGCTCTTTAGGATAGCGGTCAATATGAACAGGATGCAGTAGCCCCTGAGTGAAAGCGATTGCCATGTAGGTTGTGGTGTGTGTCATAAAGCTGCTGGCAGCTGAAATGTCATCTTGAGGGACAGGAAATAGAGCATCTGGGAAGAAAAGTGCAGCAATGTCACAGCGGTATGAGACAGTGTAAGAGGCACAGGATGAAGGAGACAGGAAACCTAAAAAAGTAAATTGATCCAGTGCCTCTGGGGTTGAAAAGTTGCATTTTTTTCAGAAACACTGAGTGATTTTTATTTTTTCCATAGTGCATTTTGTCAGTACGCACACCTTTTAGGATTTTGCAGGTAGCCAAAAAACATAATAATGCTTCCTATTTTAGAGAGTTGTCTTTTTTGCCAGTGTGATTAAAAAATGTGAATAACTGAACTGAAAGTCTTAATATATTGTGACAATTTGCATTTTTTAAAGCAGTGTGGCAGTCCCAGATGCTTTAAATCTGCTAAGGGTTAAAGCTGGACATGCGGCTTAGAGAGAGACACAGATGTTTTCACTCTGGCAGATTAAGTGTACTTGTAAGAATGATTATTTAAAAATTCAGTTATCTCACCCTTAAAAGGCACTAAGAGGACATTTAGGGAAATGTCCATCAACACAGTCCTGAAAAGAGGTCTGATTAGTCAACACAAGCGAAAACACCAGTGTAGGTGAACCGTAGTTGTTTTTCACTTAATCCTCTTTATCCCCTGTAACACAAGGCCACACACTCTAGTCCTTGCTTTTTCTCCTAATACTGCAAAGGCTGTTTTCATGTATCAAATTAACCCCGAGGTCTCTCCCAGTGATGTGAAAGACCAGAAAACCACTCAACTCAACCCTTGTTTTCTACCAGAGGCCTTGGGCTGAAAGTCTGCAGAAAGTAAACAGACCTACATAGGGGTTTCTTGTTGCGTGTACAGCATGTGTTGAGGTGTAAAATATACATTTCTGTATGACTTTTGTGAAAGCCCTTTAACTATAGTATGCACAGTATCAGCATCAGACTTGCAGAATCTCTTTTACTAAGACATCTTTCCAATTTCCTTACCAAAATATAAAAGCATGTCCATCAAGCCCCTTACTGAGACCAGTCTGTTTTGATTGACCTTGCTGGTTACGTTGCCCCTCTGAGACAAAGTCAAGATAGTTTTGTGACAACTTAGGCCCTTTTTGAATATGGACAACATCAAACCCAGAGGCTGAAACTTCTAAAATGCTACAAAAATATAAACGGTTAAC